CGCTGATCCGTAGGTTTTTACGATAAAGCGTGTTTGTGATTATTTTTCCTATCGGTGGTTCCGTCACGTACCTACTAACATTGTTGTTAAAATTCATTATTTTACGTGATTTTTCGTACCAAGATGTAGTTGCAACAAACGTGATAAAAATGTACGTATACTGGATTAATATGTACATTGCAAACGAATGATTTTCGATAAATAACTTTTGCACTTACCTTCGTTATAAACAAAGTATTTTTCTACACAAAAACATTTACATAAACTATAAAAATTGTGAATAAAAAAAATAAGAAATTTCCTTGCATACATTATTTATTATTATTGCATATTGGTTTTAATGAGTTTGCAATGATATTGTACAACTTTAAAGTATATTTGTTTCTTAGGTTTTCGCGCACATTACACGAGTGTTAACTAAACTTTGAATGAATTAAAAAATGACAAAATTCCATTCCTGTGTCAATTTCAAATTATATAAAATACATTATTATCTCTTATCTATTAGACAAGTCCGTCCGTCTGTCTGTGGTGCTGTTTCAGCGGCCAAACCGTATGAGATTGATAAAGAGAATATTTAAGTTATAAGTTAAGAATAGTCTGTTAAGACTACAAACAGGATGTGAGTAACGTAGCACTTCCGGTTTTCGAGAAATCAGGTTTTGGTGAACATTTGCTTCACTGGTTTGCTAGTTATATTATTAAGTGGTCATAAAGTACAAACGCGAAGGTAGCTGTTACAGCAGTTATAAACTGCCACACCAACCATCCTCACCTTGCTGGCCTGCAAAAATGCTTCCTCACGCCTCTCTTAAAGGACCCCAGATTATAGGAAGGAGGGAACACGTGCGCGCTCAAGAATTTAGATCTGTATCAGCTGTCCAGTTAACTAGATACAAGCATTTGTAGGAAACGAGCAATTTTCTCAATTGCAGATTCCGTTATCTAACTTCTACATCACATATAGCAAGGTATCACACTGTATATCAAATTGCAAAATTATATCAAGTGACTACGTTTTATGACAAACTAACCTAAAAAAAGTAGAACTTCGGTGACTTCGGCCAATGGGCGACCACTTTGATCAGAAAATTCAAAAACCTTAATTTAGTCAGACAACAAGATTTGAAGCTTACATTCCCGTCCATTCTTCTCAGTCCTTCTAACTAAGGGGATATTAAATATGGGGTAAACAACTATTCCTAACTATGGCAGTGTTGAGTGGTTACTTATCCACAACAAAATAATAAAAAAACATAAAACGAATGGTGCCACTGTAAAATGAGTAAAATAATCTATATATATATAAAACTCAAAGGTGACTGACTGACAAAGTGATCTATCAACGCACAGCCCAAACCACTGGACGGATCGGGCTGAAATTTGGCATGGAGGTAGATGTTATGACGAAGGCATCCGCTAAGAAAGGATTTTGATCAATTCTTCCCCCAAGAGGATAAAATAGGGAATGAAAGTTTGTATGAAACTTTGTCAACTTTAAACCGATCGGGCTGAGACTTTGCATGCGGGTATAAGAAGAATCATAGATGAATGCCATTGTGTATAATACAAGCCTGAGAACAAAAACTGTAGTCTACACTTCAGCTCTACACCGAAGCGAAGCGAGGGCGGGCCGCTAGTATAATGATAAAGAAGGAAAAACAAAACAGACTTACCTAAAATTATCAGTAAGGTAATGTCTCTACAATCATGGGGTATTTTCGATTTGAGGAAGTTTTGATTTGAAGAAGGGCAATATTTTTTAATTCTTTACCATTTTTGGTGATGGCTTAAGGTTTTACAAAGACATAATGGGATTTTACTCATGTAAAGGACATGGTAAAATTTAGTATGAGCAACTGCCCTAGCAATGTATATAAACATTGTACTTAGCATATATAATATGTAATATGCAATTAACATATATATCATGCTGAATGGCTGATTATTAACAATTTCTATGAAAAAAGGCTCAGGAACTTTTGATTAAGTTACAATCTTGAAATTTATAAAAAACTAAGTACTACTTTGATACCTTGCTATTTTTGAAAAAAGATATTGTCAATTATTAACAGAGCCAACAATTTCGCATTTTTTTAGAATCTTTCCTCCTATTTCTCTGATTAACACTTAGAAAAAGGTATTTTTAAAGCAAAAATAAAAACGAAAAATAAATGTCGGCGGCCTGACAGCGACGGGCTAGTGCGAAATAATTATACATGCTAAGGACAGTTTCTTAGCCTTGTCCTTTCCATTGACATTTCCAATTACTTATTTAAGTAACATTAAAGAACAAAAAAGGAATTAAAAAATGATTAGCGCGTTCCGCTGCGATCGTTGAATTTAAGCAACTTTCGCAGTGGTCGGTCATTGGATGGGTGACCAAAAATTTACTATCTCAAGCTCCTCCGTGCTTCGGAAGGCACGTAAAGCCGTTGGTCCCGGCTGCATCTGCAGTCGTTAGCACCCACCAATCCGCAATGGGCCCGCGCGGTGGATCATGGCCCTATCTCCCTATTCCATCCATAGGGAAGGCCTGTACCCCAGCAGTGGGGACATTAATAGGCTGACGATGATGATGATGATGATGATGATGAAAACCTCCGGACTGTAAAGAAAAGTAGTCTGACCAGTTGCGTAATTATACCGTTTTGTTAACCAGCTCCTCAATTATACAAGTTGATAATACAAAAGAGTTTGTGCGTATTGAATTTACCGTTCGCCTTTTCTACATTGCAGATAATATTGTCTCATTTTAGCTATAAGATTTCATAGATTTTCTGTATAGACCTCTTTTCCCAAATATTTCATGGTAGAGTCTGCGCGGAAAGAGAATGGGCGTGGCGAAAAACGGAACTAACAAAAAGATTTTTATTTGGCAATCAAACCCAGCAATCTGCGAAACGTCAAAATTTTGTATTGACACGGATTTATTTGTTGTTGTGATTTCTTGCGGTTTTTTGTATTTAATCATGTCTAAAAGGGGTAAAACCTTACAAATACGGTAGGAAAGCACTACAGCGCCCTCCAATCTAAATCCCATTCTCTTTCCGCACAGACTCTAAGAGTAACTAGGTATTATGTTTTAACGATGACCTAGTGGCATCCTGTCACGTTTTTGGGTAATTAACTGATTGAAAATCATAATTCTTTCTTGTCGTGAGCTTTTGCCAATTTGAATCATTTTAGCATAATTATTAATAACCTACCAGCTCATGTTCATTCAAGACAACTGTACCCCTAGCATGAACCATTATCGAATTCGAATAGTTTGCAAATCGAAATGTCAATGGCAAATTTTGTATGGAAACTTGAACAGCAGCGGCACAAAGTACGTAACGAGAACTAAAAATCAGTACACATTTGACAATGACATTTCGGACTCGCAAACGATACGAATTCGATATTGGTTCGTGCTAGGGGTACTGTATGTACCCTTAGCACTACCCAAACGTGTACTGATCCTTAGCTCTCGTTAAAATCAGCACACATCAGTCAATGACATTTCGGACTCGCAAGCTATTCGAATTCGATAATGGTTAGTGCTAATGCTCCTGTACATAGTTTTTTTAAGTAAGTTACAAATTGTAAGTAAAATTCAAATTAACTTACATTTAAATTTTAAATTACACACCGTATAATCTATGTACACGTAAACACAGTCATGTCGAGTTCAAGGAGTCTCTATATCATTGTTCAACAACATATTTAAAAATATTAAACCATTGAATATAAATAAATGTAAAGAATTACGTCCGTTCTCCACACAAGGAGGTGTAGATTAAGAATTATTAAGCAGACGCTCGTGAAAATTTAACATTCAAACACGCAAGATTTTCCTTGTTACGTTTTAGTATTATCGGACAAACGAATGTGTCATACTATTGTATTATCACGAGTCTCGGGGCTGATTCATGCGTCGGGTATCACGCTGAACCACAATAATCGCCGAGCAGAAGAAAAATGAGCTAATTCGATGATTGGAGAGAACTCTAGAAGCCTGCCTCCGAAGGTCGCATGACAATGCGTCAAAGATACGAATGTTTTGATTTAGCTCGCAGATAGGCATTTTCTTTGCGAGAGTATTTAAGTTCTATAATACGATGTTGTAGTCTATTAAATTATCTTTCTCTTACCATAAAATAAAGAATAGATTTTCCCCACCCCCTACGACAACGGCTAACTAGAGCCGAGGTCCGAGTCTCAGAGACGCCGTCTAGTTGAGCCGACCCCCTCAGGGCCGAGTGGTCTAGAAGCTCCAGACGGAGAGGAAACTCCCCCCGTGGCGAGATGCCATCCGCCTGGAATACCTCTAGAGGCACTCACTAATTCTCGGCTTACAGCATACACTCAAAAAAAAAAGAAACAGTCGGGCCGCCGCCTCCGAGCTAACATCACCCAGCTCGGAAGAAGATCCCCTTTGGTCTTCCTACAGTGAACATAATTTTCAAATTAACCTTAGAAGTTATATATCATGTAATTATTGAAGTGTGGTTTTAAAAGGGCAATAATATTTGTATGCTTATATTATTTTTTAACTGCCTTTATGGTTTCTTTTTTCTGAGTTATATGTTTCTTCGTGTTTTATCAAAGAAAAAACGGGTGCAAATGAGAATCAATACTAATATTATAAATGTGAAAGTGTGTCTGTCTGTCTGCAACATATTCACGGTTAAGCCATTGAACTGATTGTAATTGAAATTTGGCACAGAGATAGTTTGAATTCTAGGAAAGGTCTAAGAATAGTTTTTAATCCAAAAATCACCTCTTAATGTCGTGAAAAACGGGTGTAAAAGTTTGTATGGAAAACCATTTTTTCCACTCAACCGATGTTCCGGGCACCCACTAATATAGAAATAAATGGTACAAACTAAAAAGACTCGAAACTTTTTGCATTAAATAAAAATTATCCTCAGTAAATTTCCATACAAGGAGCAAAAAAAACTATGTCGACGCATCCCTGACGCGTCTGCGTTGTTATTCTAGAAACGCGAATGCGCCGAACGATGCGCACACGCACCGCGCCGCCCCCTCCTCTGTATATAGCCTCCAGCGACCGCGACGGCCTCAGTTAATATATCCACACCGTACTGTGCACACGTCTGTCCAATCACAATGTTCTCAGCGCGCGTTCTAACGTTCGCCGTCGTCTTGACAGCGGTAGCCGCGCTACCGGCGTCAGACAAGCCGGCCGTACCCCGCCCAGTCACAACAATCACAGACGCCGACGTCGATGACGCACCGTGGTTCAGTTTCCCATACTTCGGTAACCTGTTCGCCCCGCTGTTCAAACTGTTCCCGACTATAGCAGACATCGGCCCGAGGATCATTGCCGATGACGATAAATTCCAAGTTATAGTTGGCGTGAAGGACTACAAGAAGGAAGACTTGAAGGTGAAGGTCAAGGGAGACTTCATCTTCGTGCAGGGATCGCACGAGGCTAAGCAGGACGATCGTGACATATTCGCGAGCCAGTTCTTCCATACGTATACGCTTCCGGCCAACTCCAGTGCTGCTGCAGTGACCGCGGAGTTAAGCAGTGATGGTTTCCTGATCGTCAGTGCACCGATCGGCGGTGCTGCTGAAAGTACCAGTGAGACTGACAGAGAGGTCCCGATAACGGAAACCGGTGCCCCTTACCTGAAAGAAGAATCGACGACGACCGTTGTACCATTGGAGTCGGAAAGCGACAAAAAGGAATCGACTACACAGTCGGAACGAGAAGAGGTCACCGAAAAGGACAACGTCATACCCCACGGAAACGAGATCCCTGTTTAATGTGATAACCTAGTTCTTATGTATTTAGATAAAAATCAGTATTTTTAATAAATATTTTTCTATTTAAGTTCAGTGTTTCGTTTCGTACGTTCGTTGGCTTGACGTTTCGCTTTACGCTCGGTGCGTATGAATGCAAATATGCTCCAGACGTGGATGTGAGCAACAATACAGGTCGGTCTTTGTCAGAATGTTACGGTTTTAATGCTTTGTGAAAAACATAGGTACAGTAAAGAACGCAATAATTAGATGCTTCATTTAAAAAGTTTCCATAATATTATTAGAAAAATGCATGCATACGAATTGTGTTATATCGAAATAGGAATTTGTGCAATCGCGTTTCAACACAGACGCGATAGTGTTTAACGTTCATATGCCATTTTTATTACGTTATGATGACAGACGGATATTTCGTATACTCATCATAATGAGTATTTAATATTTTTATATATTTTTAAGTACTTGACCTTTGCGAACAGAAATGCTTTTAATAAAAATTAATACAAGACTTTTGAACTTTAATATAAATTGATTTGAAGTTATTTCTAGTAAAACATTTTATTTGGATTTAAACGTAAATTTTGCGGTGGTATTTTTTATCAACTTAGATGTCACAGACATATGAAAATTATTATTTAGAAATGTATTAAGAAAAGGAAGTTACAGCAATAGAATCGCTTTAGATATCACATATTTTCTTGTATTACTATAACGCATAAACATTTCTTTAATCATCAAAATAAATAATGCAATAGCGACCTCGTTTTCATTTAACTGAGTTGAAAACTAAGAAATTCGCTTCTGTATCGTACACTACGCTAATACATGTTCGCTTTATAGAATTAGGTACATACTAGCAAACCAGTGAACCAAATGTTCAACAAAACCTGATTTAAAAAAAAAATGTATTTAATTAATTGAGAACTTCGGAGATTTTGTGTGGTTTCGTTTGAAATTCGTGATTTCTCGAAAACAGGAAGTGCTACGTTACTCAAATCCGGTTTGTAGTCTTATCAGACTATTCTTAACTTATAACTTAAACATTCTCTTTATCTATCTCTTACGGTTTGGCCGCTGAAACAGCACCACAGACAGACAGACGGACGGACTTGTCTAATAGATAAGAGATACCTGCCTTGTATTGGTATTTATTTACGCCTTGCAAATTGATATTCGTAACAAGTGACTGTTTTGATTATAGTCTCGTCAAATAACGAGAAACTAAACTAGGCGGGTAACAACGTTAGATCGAACTGTCGGTGGGTGGTATTTAGGGGGTTTCGGCTTTGTCGATGATAACGAACTTAGGCAGGGGTTAAGGCTTTGACAAATCAAGGGTGGTTGCACGCGCGGTGAAACTGGAATCATCGTTTTCGCGGTTGACGGGTCGCAATTTACGGCTATCACAGCAGAATAATTATTTTAGTTTGTTGTTGTCTACGCTTTGTGCGTCTGCTGTTTCGGATGCGGGTTTTGGATTTGCTAGCGTCTGATGTGACCATGAAATTCGTAGGGATCGGATAGGTATTAAGTTAGTTACCTTTGGTAAATTTTCCTAACCGTTTTTCCTTGCCATGTACGAAAGAAGAATCTTTATTCACTTTTTACTAACTGGTTATGAAAAAAGAATATTTGTTATGTTTTTTATTATTTTAAAGCATGTTACTGCTTGATGTTGAAATCTAAAGAAAATATAACTAGAAAAAATTCCACGCGGACCAGGCAGCAGACGGGACTCGAACCCGCACCCTTCGCAATCCGGGCGAATGCACTGACCAATTATGCTACCGCGGCCTAAGAATTTGTTTTTTTATATTCATAATTGGTTAAGATAAAAACCTAAGAAAATTACAAAAAATTAGTGTTATTATTAACTAGTTAACAAAATGACAATAAAAATTCCATGTCTGCAGTTATATAATTTATTAGTTTTACTTCTAGATTTAAATAAAATAGAACCGATGAAACCAGTTATGAAAATGAAAAAAAATATATTATTTCATAACCAGTAAGGAAAAAGTGAATAAAAATTCTTGTTTCGTAAATGGTTACGAAAAACGGTTAGTAAGAAAATGGACCAAAGGTTTAGTAATATTGTTAAAAAAAATAACGTTTTAAAAAATAGGTAGCTACTGATGCAAATGTGCACATTTAAGGATGCCTAGGATGAATCCCAATTTTTAAGTGTGAAATAAAACAATTGTGTCATCTACTTTATGTAATAATAGGAGAAGACAATATGCTCTATACAAGTATCAATTTAAGTTACATTATAGAATGCGACACTCAAAGTCAATACTGTCGATCAAGTGTCATTTACATCTCGACTAATGCCGTAAATACATTTGGTCGTTAACCCGCATTCGCATGGACGAAAGACATTACTCGAATTCGGGCACCCGAAGCAATATTTACACTGGAATACAGGCTGGAAGAATTCCATTGGCATTTGTATTCGAGCTAACGACCAAGTGTAATGGCGTCATAAAACACAAAAAAAATGTTATTGGTTATTAACTAATAACTAGATGACACCGATTTACTCATTCATATAGTCCACTGACAGGTTGATGTTGGTAGAATTTGTGTTATAATTTGCTGTCTTTATACCTGAGTAAACATGAAACTCGTGAAAGTAATATTTGCATTCTACAAGTGTGGTGGTACCCTCGGTGGACGAACCCGACTCGCATTTATCTGGTTTCTACAGTAGTCTAAATTAATGCTGTGAAGGCTAATAAAATGTTTTTTTTCTTTCTTTCTTTATACAGGGTGTTACAAAAATACAAATAAAGCTTAAAGGGCGTTGAGGTGCATCATAAGGAGTCTTCTCTAATTTTCTTAAAATATTTGTATGAAGTTTAAACTTTTTATAAAAACAGTTATTTTTACTGACTAATCAAAATATCGATCATTTTAAGACACGTCACTAGTTCGAGGATCATTAAAAATAACTGTTTTTATAAAAAGTTATACAAGTTATACAATTGGCACTTTTAAAAAACATCTAAAAAAATATCTCTTAACTACTCAACTCAATAATAATTAACAAGATCAAGTAAACTCACTATCGGAACTTTCACGGCGTGCATGCAAGGCTTGGGAGATGGGTGTCCGGCACGTTGTGGCTTGCTGTTAAGTTTGGTCCGTTTTGTTGGATTCCTTGGGGGTAATGAGATGCTTTTATTGCGCTCCAACGTGGCAATAGGTACGTGGCATCCATCCATTCCATTAGATCGTACAAAGGTACAAAGTACAAAATGCACCACAGATTGGAGGGATGTCATAATGACAGCGTTGTCTGTGAGCGGGGGTGCGTTCGGAACGTTGGAGTGCGTTCGGTTGCTGGGCTGCGTTCTTAGTTTACGTGCCGGTCTTAAAAATCGGCTCCTTCGTCAAAACTAGTTTATATAAGTAAATGTATTTTTATCTATGAATATTATGTTCTTTTTTTTTTTTGTTCTTATTTTATTTTTTATTATTATGTATTCTTGTGTCAAAATATGTGAATCGTTACTATAGCGCCTAATACGTCCTCAAACAGGCCCTGCCAGAATACCAGCGCTGATACAGTGAGAGAATATTTTCTCATTGTATCAGCATAAGCTGAGGCAGGGTCCTGATTGGCCATTTTAAACCTAATGTTTAATTTTTGTTCTTAGGTTAAGTTTCTTTTTTATATTTTTTTTTTCCTCTGTTTCATAAACCATGGCCAATAAAGATTTTTCATTCATTCATTCATTCATATATGATGTACTTCAACTCCCTTCAAGCTTTATTTGTATTTTTGTAACAACCTGTATACTCAATGTAAATTGTGGTCACCATGCCACGGGGACAGGAATAGTTAAACAAGAGTTGAATAGGATGATGTCACATTATACACTTGTAGAATGCAAATATTAACTACACGAGTCACATGTTTACTTAGGTATACAGACAGTAAATTATGACTCAAATTCTATCAACATTAACCTGTTAGTGGATAATATGAATGAGTAAATCGGTGTTACCTAGTTATTAGTTGATAACTATTAACAAATGTTTTTCTTTTTGTCTTATGCCGCGATTACACTTGTTCGTTGTCAAAGCGCCACTTCGAGTCTAGCACCAATCCCAGGTATTTCAAGGTGGACTCTATTGTCACTCTGGCTTCGTCCACCTTGACATAGGCTCCGGCCGGTGGCTTGCCCCTAGCGCTATAAAACATTATGGCCCTTGTTTTTCCTGCAGCCACCTTAATCCCCAACATTTCTATCCTCCTCACGACCAATGAGGCACTTGCTGACCCCAACCGCCGAATGTCCTCGTAAGTCTTGCCCCTAACAGCGATTAACGTGTCGTCCGCATAGCAGATGATCGTCGTTCGGCAAGAGCTTCTCCCGGAGTACCCAGTCATAGGCGAGGTTCCAGAGGAGCGGTCCCAGCACCGGCACGGGCTAGCGACCAAATGTATAAATAAATAAACCAGTTCGTAAATACCGTTGAAACTTGTTTTGTTTAAAGAGTGCGTGAAATCCAAAGAAACAAATAAGTTACGGTCACCCTATTGTCGCGTGATGACCAATCGACGAGACGGACACATTTCTCCTTATTGCATTCCCGGTGTAGTGTGGCGCGCGGAAATATGCCGATGTCGAGTGGTATTCTTAGGATTTTATTGGTATCCGTTGAAGGTCGACAGAAATGTTCTTTCACACAGATCGGAGTTGATTAGTGCCTAACGCCGTAGGTTCTAAACTGTTTATCTAGAATGTGGTTTTTGCTACAAAAACGAGAGTATTCCTTCCTCCTATGGTATAAAAAAGTGATACATTTTTTGTGAAAATAAACTAAAACACATTATTTTGCTCCGATTGGATCACCTGCCCGGAGAAGTCCTATACCAAAGAGTGAGTGAGCTTATTGAATTATCACTGAGAAGTTCGAATTTCATAAACCGATACTGATGTTTATTCCAAACGTTTTAAAGTTTACATTGCATTGGAGAAATTCCACAGTAATATGCTAAACCTACCTAAAATAATTGAAATGTTTTTAGACTTTGCTAATTAATTAATTATTCCGTGATGTTTACTGCTCGCTTGCATTATTGTGTTGTCTGCATATATCTCATTATATCCCCGTAACTTAGGAATTAAGACAGTAGGAATCATTATTAAAAAAAAAGAATA